TCTTAAAGAGGTGATGTTGTGTTTACGAGTTTGGAACGAGTTTCTCCTTTTAAAGGAATTATTTTTGTTTAACTTTTGACTCGTGGAAACTCGGTGTTTTTTTTTATTCCAGTTATTGCGCAGTATAACGCAACTTTTATGTCTCGCCTGAAATCCAATATCCTGTACCATTTACGTATTCCTGTTGACGTGAAATAAAAAACAGAAATGTACGGATTATATACTTTTTTTTTTTTATTAAGTTTTCATTTATTCAAACGAGCAAATATAACATAATTTATATCGAGTGAAAAAAAAAATAAAAATATTTTTTATAAAAAATAATTCAAAGCAAACGGTAATCCCGTAATACAAAAATACAAATTTCATTCCATAAGAAAGAAATCTGGGAAATGGAGCCAAACGCAAATTATTGCGTGTAAAAGAAACTCAAAACAGACGAATCTCGTATAAATAAAAAACAAATATCAAATAAAATTTCCCAAAGAAAAAAGGAGACAGATCAAATTATGGTTATGAATTAAAAAAAAAAAGAAATCGTAAAATTCAAAGGTAAAGAAAATAAAATTATATAATTGGAAATGTAAAAAAAAATATATTCCAATGATAATTTATGATAAAATTCGATATAAGACAGAGGAAGAATGAAAGAAGAGAAACGAAGAAACAAAGGGAGCCATCCTCGATTAAAAATAAAAATTAAACTCCCAAAGAACAATCCCTGGGCGAAAGAAAACGGGGTAAACAAAATTACGCTCACCAATTAAAACAAGTCAGATACCGATACATGTTCCGCTCAGTTGCAAGATCAAAGCGAAGCCCAAGGAAACACGGTGCATATTCATCAGTTCCAGCGTCAACCGAACAAAAATCGATATTCGCCTCCAATCAGTCCAATTTGGGGGGACACCTAACGACACGATCGACACGGGATCGCCTCTTCAAAAAACTATGTGTTCCAGTCGAGCTTCCGTATTTCAAAATATTTCAAAAAATTCTTGCGAACGAATCGCTTCTGCATCTCTCTCATGGAAATTTCCTACATACATACACACACACACACACACACAGCTCGTGGCGAGGAAACGCTGGGCTGACTATAATACGCGAGCGTCGAACTCGAAAATTGGATTTAGTCGAGGATCGATAAGCCGTCTCATAAATCTGTCTATTATCGTCCCGTAAAGTTCGTCGGTACGAGATCGGCGTAGTTCCGCGCCTATAGATGAAGACGATCCGGGGATTGTTGAGGAAGAACGACCGGGGCAGGATTTCTTCTCGAATTGTTCTGTCAGTTCTGAATCGTGGATTGATTTTCTTTTTATAGGGTGTTCCATATGCATTTAAGTAAGAATCCTTTCCGTGAATGCGAGGTTAAATCAGATCATTTTAAAGAAAGTTAAGTTAATCTAAAGAGTGTGTATGCTGTATTCAGAATTTAGCAATGATTAACATAAAATCTTAATGAGAAGAAATATTAATTTAGAAGAAAGGAAAAAAGATGTACGGAGAGAATATATTTGTGTCGATATCTTTGAGTCGATGGATCGATTTCACGGAGTAAAAGAAATAAAAATTGGTACAAGAAAATGTTGATTGGAATTTATTTATGTTGTTTATTATGTTGTTGCAATTGAAACTTGTTTTCAGCGCCGTGCCGCGGCAATGCGATGAACGTAGAGTCATCTCGCTCTGTTTCTCTCTTCGTCTAAACGGAAAATTTAAATCGCTCGCAACTTAATAAATAAGCTTCGATCGTTATTTTTACATACCATAACAATTTTTCCGCTCCCTGAAATCAACCTCTTGAATGTCTTAATAAATATAAGAAAAATATATAAACACACTACCGATATTCCACGTGCTTATATATTCGACGTGGCATCCAAACTTTCAATCTTTCAAATTTCGAATCAACGATTCGAAACGAAATAAGAGAAAGAACACGAAACGAATGATAACTGAAAAATCCACAGGTCCACAGGTTGTGGAACGGAATATTCGTCTATCCGCAATGAACCGTCTGCGAATTCCGGATTCCGGATCGGTCTGAGAAGGAAGAGGAATCGTGGTGTGGGTGTCAAAAAGACGCACGAGTCGAACGTTAAACTCGTCGTCTATCGTCTTTCTCCCCTCTTCACACCCATCCATTCTCCCTTTCTCCTCCCCATCGTCTCCTCCTATCCCCCTCCTCACCTCATCGAAACCCATACTTCCCCCTCTCCTTCCCCGCCGCCCCCCTTCGAGTTACTTTCGCTCTTTTCGTTTCGTAGCTGCATCCCCGGACCCCGGGCCGAGGGAGTGCATTAAAATAAATTAATTTTCATGAGATTTTCCCGTAGCGAATGGCCGTTACGGGACTTAAAATAATAATTCAACGAGCCGCATGGGCGGAATTTGCATTTCCACGTCACGGCACGCTTCTGCCAGACCAAGCCAGCCAGCCAGCCAGCCAGCCAGTCAGCCAGCCAGCCAACCAGCCAGCCAACCGGGCCAGCGACGATCTTCAACGGAAGTCGGAATAGAATTCAGAAGGCGAGCAACGTAGGGTGAATGGAAGATGGAAGGGGAGGAGGAGAGGGAAGCAAGGGCCGTGGAGTATAGGTGGCGGGGAGAGAGGAGCTGAAGGAGCGAGAAGCTTCTTGTTTATTGGAAGGGGGGAGAAGGACGAGAGATATTCGCCGACTTAAGATAGAGAGAAAGAGAGAAAGACTCGTAGGGAGCAGCTTAAACGCCGGAAATATTGCGAATTGATAAGCGTTGCTCGCGGCTGAATTCTCGTCTCGTGTCGCGGGGATGTCGAATATTATTTGAACGCTGTTCGTGGCGGTGTTCGAGGTGTTGGAGATGGAATAGATTTCCCTCCTTTTTTCTCCCCCCTCCCCTCATTTTTCTTTTGTGACGAGGCTTTTAACCGCGTTGCGCGCTCACTTTTCATTGATTCGCGAGTTCAGGAGAGAAAGTTAGAAGAGTTTGAGATACATTACTGAATTTCTGATTCAGTAATTTATAATAAACGAATGAAAAACGATACGTGTTAGACTTTTGGATTACAAAATTCGAATTAAAATTTATTTCTCGCGCATACAGATGGTGCAAAGGATTGACAATTTTTTTTTTTTTTTTTCTATGTCTTGGAGCCTTAAAGTAGCTTTTATTTCACGTGGAAAATATTGCAAGATTCATTACGAGACTTTAAACGAAGCAAGTGGCATCTCTTGGACATCTCTGGCCAAGTATTTATCTATTTTCTCGAAGTTAGCTTAAGAAAAATTGTTTAACTTTTTAATTTGCTGTTAGGCTCGATTCGTCGTGAACTGAAAACCGAGTTAAGCGGTTCCTTATTCTTTTGTATTGAATTTTAATAAAAGGATTTCTTGTAAAAGAAAAGAAAGGCGTATTACGTAAAATTTTATTCAAAAAGAGATTTAATACTTCTTTATCCTTTGGTTTAAGTAATCTTCGGAGGAGCTGCATAAAATAGCTGATATTCTTAATATAGCGGTACTTCGGGAGAAATGTTTTATTGTACTTTGAGATTCTCTTGGAATAATTGAGTGTGACTTCGTCGGGAATAGCTTTTATTCCATCTAAAATTGCTTAATGTTCACGATACATAAATTGCTTTTGCAGAGTATGGCTTCGTGGAAAATGGAATTTCTATTTCACTTGTTACACAGTTATTATTATTATTATTATTATTATTATTATTATTAGTGTTATTATTATTGTTATTTCTCTTAGAATTGTCCTTGTTAATATCTTCTTGGAAAAAATAAAATAATTCCATGATAAAATTTTACTTTCAAATGGAAAGAGAAAATTTTTACAAATATTCATCGCATGAAATTTATTGCTTTGTTTGGAATCATACGATTTGAAGAGATTTTACACAAGTAATTAATTTTTGTTCTTGTTTTTTTTTACGTAATTTATGAAACTTTAATGTTTTGCTTCTATATTCGCTTGTCAAGCGAATCCATTTAATTTAAATGTACGTAACGAATATTCAGTCACTTGTTACAATGTGATAATTCTGTTTTTTGAAAAAAAGAAAAATTTTTCGCCTAATTTAAAATTATTAAGTCATTATGTAGAAAACATGTTCGCATCTTTTTGAAAATTTTTATATTACATCGTTTAATGTATAAAACATTAGAGTAACATGATACATTAACTCGATGTCATTAAGAATAAAAGGATAACGCAATAATATAAAAGCGTAAAAGCATTCTAATTACACTTTTAATGTAAAAATAATAATGAATAATAGTCAAATCGTTATTTAGTAAATAATTTATTAAATAATACATATATAATATATAAATTTGCATAAATATTCACAGATGATTTTCTTCCTGAAAATTTTGAATTTTCGAGTTATGTTTGTATTGTATTATCTTTTTTATTACACCGTTATTATCATCATGAGAAAATATCACACACACACATATATATGTATATATATATAATCATAAAATGAAATTGAAATTTATCAGAAGAACTTGATTTCACAAAATCGTTTTCTCACATATTCTCACATTCTTTTATTTCACTGCACATCATCCCACGCATCATATCTTTATTGTTCCGTTTCGTGCTCTAGTTGTCCGTCTGCTTCTCTTAACCATTTTACTACTCCTCTCCCACGCCGCCCCTCCTCCCCAGTTTTATGTGTAGAGACGATATTGAAATGCCACCGCCGAGAAAATGGCAATAGATCGTAAATAACCGAAGAAATTTTATTACAAGTTGTATCTGTTTAATTTCCATTTTACTCGAAATCTGATGCAACTTTTTTATCGGGCGGATTTTCCTCTCAGTGAATGTAAAAAGTTTGAACGAAGATTAAGAGAGAAAACGATAAAAGATATCTAGTTTGAGAAAGTAAATTAATTCCGATATCCCACCATTTATTGAAAGTAGATATTTTTCATTATTGTTACAAAGCGATTACTGTTCGATCACAAGACGGAGGAATATAAAAATTTCATGAATTTTTATTCCAGTGTTCACTGTTTGCAATAATAAAATGAACACAGTATAAAGCATGGTATAAATATTAATTAAATCGTTTAATATGGAACTGTAACTCACCCGATGTGGAACGTAATCCAAATTGACGACATCCATAATGATTTAGACACGTAAAAGTTCTGTAACACAAAAAATATGAGATTTCCATTTAGACAAATTGATAAAAATAATCGACTTCTTTTTAAAATAGCTTTAATTCACATTTCATTATTCAATAATAATTAAATAATAATCGAATAACGTTAAATAACGTTAAAAATCCCACAATAGAATTTCAATATCGAGGAACAAAATCCATTGGAGGCTCGTGATCGTGAGACGTGTAGAACTTATCGAAAAGGCAGAGATTATAGAATCTTAATAGGAATAATAACGTTTTGCAATTTGATCGCGATACAATTGCGCCCTCGTTTAATTAAAAACTTTCTATCAACGGTGAAAAGTAGGTGATACACGTTTCACGCCCCTCTTCAAGGCTATCAGCAAGAAATGTTATTCTACCCTCTCCCATTTAACCCCCCACCGATGTTAATTAAATTAATTAAAAGTAATGCCACCCTGTCCGTTGAATCAAGATCCAGAAGAAAGTTTTACTCGACTAATGAGTTACAACCAGATTTAACGAATCTTCCGCCGAGCAAATAGATCTCGGCGGAAAACTCGCAATAATTACACTCGTTTCGCGCCATTTCCTTTTTTCAATTTTTTCAATTATTATCCAACGATTGAAAACCTACCGTCTTTTCGAAACATTCGAAATTTCCCAACCCCTGTAATCCACCCTTAAAATTAATCTCACCCTCCCCCCCAGTATCCATAAACCAAATCCATCCTCCAGCCTTTTATTAATTCCATCGAAAATCCAACCAACGTTTCCATCCGCGTATTCCATACGCTGGAGAGAGAGAGAGAGAGAGAGAGAGAGAGAGAGGAGAGAGAGAGAGA